CATCTGCAAAGTAGACAGCAAGCAATGCGGCAGCACAGAAATCCCATCAGCTGCATAATCAGACACAAACAGAGAACGCTGAGCAACCCACCTGCTCTGTTATTTACTTACACATGCACACTAAGTAATTCACCATTAGTCTCTGCATTGCCAGTTAGCTTCTCTTTTATGACTAACAGTTTTTAGGGTGACTTCCATGGAAGGGAGAACAAAATGAAGACTGGACATTCCAGACCAATTGTCCCAGAATTCTAGAATGTGTGTAAACTTCTCACTCTGATCATTATGCTAATCAAATACAAATTAAATAACTGATATGACTGAGATGAGGCGATATGAAAACTTTGGTCATGTGTAGCAGGTTCCTCTGGGTTGTGCAATCCTGACCGAAATACTGCAACTCAGCAATTTGGTGTTTATTATTACTGCAACAATTTCCATGACTGAGTCAACCGTTTCAGGTCGCTATATTAAGGACACCTGCTGATTGTAGCACCGGATTACCATCTGAACATCAGGCTGTCATTTCTCTATGTCTAACACCATTTCAGCCCCATTTATTTCCAAACAAGAACTGACTCATTCGTAGGTAATAAGCTTATTAAAAATAATAAAATACTCTATTAAATTATTCAAAGAACTATACAATAAGTACATACTATAGAGGTTGCTGGTTTATGGACCAAAACATAGACATGAATATAGCCTGTAAAATCATCATAATGTTGGAGGAGAACGTATCTAACTGTCTGATCTGACCCTTAAGTTACACAGGAGGAGAAACTCAATCTGCATGTTTATATATAATCAGTGTGGTCATGTGGAGGACAGACTCCATTCCTGAAAGGTAATAAGAACCACAAATAAAGAAGCGTGCTTAAGAAATGTCACAAGTTGACGCCACATCTCCGACCTGATTAGCACTGCCTGTAAACACGGCTGGGGGGGGTAGTGGTCTCGGTGACATCACCAGCCCTTCACTGCCCTCCGATCCTGGGCATGCAGCCCTTCCCACTGCTATTCTCAGACACCCACACACTAACACCATCCTAAATCACTGTCTGTCCCCATCGATCAGAATAACGAACCTTCTGGTGCAGTTGCACTAAACGATAAGCTGGATCCTCACTCCCAGCCGTCCATTCCATTTCGTAGCTTTGGTACTGTCAAACTTCAAACAAACTTCAGTCATGTCTTCTTTCCTCCAGTAGCTGATCTCCAATGATGTAGGAAAGAGTTTGATATTGGTGGGACACCACTTATTAATTTAAATACAAAAGTCTATTCATAGGTAGAGCTGGGTAGTTCAGGTCTGGAGAGTAAAAGTCCAGACCAAGATTTTGTTTCAACCAACCAGTTCAGCATAAAGAGTCACATTCACAGAGTACTCAACTGGTTGGTTGAAACAAAACCTTGGTCTGGATTTGTACTTTCTGGACCTGAACCACCCACCTCTGTTGAGAAGGATAAATGAATCCAAATTGAAAGCCGCAGCCTTCTGGCCCAGAGACTCTCCTGTGTGAACAGAGCCGCGGTCAAACTCCAGGCTCTTCAACATCCTGCACAGCAGCAACATTCCCTCCCTATGTGATCAGCAACATCACCTCACTGGGATAACAGAGACTTCCCAGGGTGAGGAATTATGGGGAGCATTTTACAAAGAATTGGTAGTAACTCAGTTAATACTGAAGTACAAATCAGTAACAAATATACTGTAGTAGGTACTTGAGATCATTAATAATGAACAAACATGAGATCAAGGTTTACAGAATTAACAGATATAATAACAAATATATTAACTGCTTAAGATAAACAAAAAAGTGTCATGATTAATTAATGATGAACTAACTTGAGATCAGTATGTACAGTAACTAAGACTTAGTCTGTGGTTAATTAATACGTACGTAATAGCATACATTATTTGTGCCCCGCCAAATAACGTGTTACAGAATTTTGTAGTGAGACACGAGATTAATATTGGTACATAAATCAATTTCAATCACAATAATTCTACCCACATGAACACCTGAGGTATTCCACCCCAAATCACACAAACGCCCTCCGCCAGATACCTTCCCGACTATTCCCTGCAATCAAAAAAGATAGCAGCATCGATCACTTAATACAAATTATTGATAGTTAGCGATCATCTGCACAGTTACCTTAGCGTGAGTGTTACCCCTTAGAGAATTTTTCAGGCTTGTATAAGCTTATTAACATCCTCCTGGAGAATATAGCACCCGTGTGATTCGGTCACTCATAATGTCACACTGGAGCGTTAAAGGGTGACAGGCAGGTGCCAAGATGACCATCCGGGCCACGTTAATCGATAGCGTACGCGTCAGCCATGCAGTCCGCACACGACGCGGTCACTTCTGAGGGCGGCTGCTAAAAGTGACACCAGACAGAAAGGCGATGTCGCCTTTACCCTTGTTTATTCTGCGTCAAAGCTGTTGTGAGGATGGCATCGATAGCCTCCGGATCGCAGGCACAATCACGCATGACCGCGGGAGGGGCGCACATGCCATCCGTGCGGCAAGGCGCTGACAGCCTGGCCAGTCCCTATATTTCAATCACTTTTAATCCCCCAGCTGATAAAATTCTTTAACACTGTAGCACTCATCTGATTATGCATTATGTTATGTTCCACAAACTGTGCACCACGTTCGCTATCGTTAACATGAATTCGTAGTTACGCAGTCAATATGCTCAGCGTGCATATCGCTGGAACCGTGTCTCCCTCTGAAACCGAATTCGATTTCTGGACGGTTCCACTTACACATGAAATTAAGTAAATTGTACTGCGTACTTAATATTATTATGATTTATTTGTTTTTGATAATGCATGTCGTCGTTAATTAACCCATACTGAAAGATCACCATGTACTATGTGAACAAACACAGTATATATTATAATATTGCTTAAATTCACATTTGTAAATTATAGACAACAGCAAAACATGAATTATTATTAATAATGATAGTCGTAACTGTAAATGAAATCTACATTTGACCGAAATGCTATAGTTAGTATTTGTACTGACATCTTAATTCAGTCCACGCGCTGGTTACTGGAGCACATACAGTATAACTTACCAGTGCTCATTTTAACGGCTTGGGCTGTCAGCGTTCAGAATATGCATTCAGATGTATCCGTCTGGAAAGCAGACATGGGATGCACACTGGCTGTGCCTCTGCAGAAGATGCAGAAAAATCTTCACACATCTAAATAAGAAATATAGATCGGAAATATCCAAACGAATGAAACGAGTGACTTATATGGCAAGTTGACAAGCATAAAAGCACAGGATGATGCTGCAGTACTGTAGTCCAGAGTCAAACGCAGTGCACTTGACATAAGCACAGCCCCACGATGGCTGTCCTACCGCCTCTGTCTCAGCATCCCTGGAGCCAGGTGATAAATAGTGCCTCTGACAGCTGAGCAGTACATATTGCGGGTGGGGGATTTCTGGGATTTCTGGGATATGTAGTTCATAACTGCAGCCACAAGCTTAAGCATCAATAAGAGCCTTTGCTGTATTGCACGTTGAACTACAACTTCCATAAATACTGGAACCAAAGTAAATAAATGCTGTTACAACCTTGTGTGTGTGTGTGTGAGAAATGGATGTTATACATTGTTGCGACCATAAGCTGTATATTCATAACGACATAATGTAGCCTAACTGCGAGAATATAATTACAAAATGCCTTCATTGTCATTTCACAAATGAAATCAAGTATATCTTATCTTGCTCTTCCATTATACATTTGTTGATTTTGGGACTAAAAGCCTAACACCACCTGTTCGATCAGTTGCGGGATTTGAACCGGCAACCTACCGCCCACCTGCAGAGCCACGCACTTTCTCTTTTTACGGACTCATCTATACCAGCTTTTAGCTTTAATCAAAGTCAATAACAACAACGTATACGTTAAAATATTTAACATCCACCCCTCCGGTACTCTGGTTCTTTCCAACCCTCCAGGCTGATTTATATCTAAACTGTATGTACGTGCCCTGTAATGTTCTGGCATCCCGTCCAGGGTGTTCCCAGTATGTGCTGTCTGGGATGGGCGCCAGACTCACAAAGACCCTGCTCTGAATAAGCAGTTATAAAAGATGGATGTTTGCTGTATTCCAAAAAGGATATCGTGTAATATAACAATATCAGATTATTTGATATTACATATCATATGTATGGTTCAGCAGGTTTGAACGCTGTACTTGTGATTGGAACGTTTTCGGTTTAAATCCCAGAGTGGGCAGAGCGATTTCAGCGTTGGGTCCTTGAGAAAGGCTCTACACCCCAATTGCTCTAGGGACCGACTGACCCTGCTTTCTCAATAGCACATCGCTTTGGATAAAAGCGTCTATTAAATATTTAATAATGTAAACTAGTGTTGGAGTTTGGCCTCCGCCGGGTCCGTGGATGAGAAGAGATTCACAGCTGAGACGTGGAGAAATTGCAGGTCACCGGTTTATTCTCCGACAGATTATAATCCGGGAGCGACCATCTGACATACATTCAGCATGTACAGGAAGAAGCTCAACCATATGTATCAGCTCTATCCCTTTTAAAGCCCTTTGGGCATCTCCCCCCTCTCTCGGTACCTTCCGTCTACTTGTCAACCACATGTTTGACATTTGCTGTAGTTAGCCGGTTAGTACTTGTCCTTCTGGAAGGCTAAAGATAAGTAAGGGCCGCTGACGTTCTCTGTCTGTCCCCTCTATCTGTCCCGATTAGGTCACTTTGCCGGTGTTCTGACGAGTTGAGCTACTTTGTCGAGTTAGGCTACCATAATGCTAATCGATAGCCCTAACCCTAACTCTTACCCTAACCCTAACCACCCCAACACCCCTAAAACCCCTACCTTAACCCTAACCCTAACCCCTAAAACGTAACCCTAATTCCAAGACGGTGGAGCTGCACTTGCGCCGAAAGGCTCGATAGCACGTTTCGATAGGTAGCTCAACTCGTCAGAACACCGGCGCGCCAGTCAGTTCTCGTTTTGATTAGTTACAGCCTTATAGAATCATTCCCTCACTAGGAGGACGCAAGACGCGATGCTTTGCCAAGTAAACATATTTGCATCCAAAACTGAAGTCGTTATAAACTAAATATGCAACAATAGAAAAACAGAAGAGTTTGGTTTAACTGACATAAAACATCCACAAGTATTCGTGGTTTATCCCAAAACAGCGTTTGGAATGAATTTAGAGCCACCTGGCGCTGAAGGAATAAAACTGTAGCCAGTTTTTAAATAAACCGCGACTGACGCGTAAAGACTATATTCATAATATCTCGATAAAATAACTCTTTCCCACGTGTCACATTCTCACCCATATAAGAAACGCCACAACCATCTAATCGCCTCGTTTGATTACTTCTTCTCAGTTGATCTGTGACGTAATTTTCTCGCGACCTCGGCAGTGGTCGGCAGCCTTAAGAAGTTTTATGTTATATTCAGAGCATGATCATATCTGTATGATCATTTATTTCATTGTCGTTGCTCATTACTAAGTAGTTCATACATAAAAAACGTATAGATTTTAAATATTTTTCTTTAACCTAATTGGCTCCTCATAGTAAGATCTGCAAATCATTTGGATCTACGTGAGCCCGCTGCTATGCCTAACGCTTGCCCATCCATGTCTTGTTGAAACTAGTATGACGCAAAGGAAAGCGACGGGAAGATGGCGGCGCCCACAAAGTGCGTGTTTTCCTTTTTCTTCGTGTAATTCATTTTATTTATCACTAAATGGATACTAGGGTAAATATGCCGGACGAGGAAAGCTTTGGAATAGAAGTGATTATTCAGGAAGGAGACAAGAAGGCACCGTCATGCCCTCATGGTATGTCGAACGTAATATTCTTAAATTATTTATGATTAAAAAGGCAGAATAATGTAAGTGTCTCGTGCATACGTTGCATTTAATACGCATTTCATCGCACGATTAAATAAGCATAGTTCTGTACTGTCTGCTCGCTTATTAGTGAGGGAAATGACTATTTTTTAACGCCGTAACACAAGCAAGGAGTAGATATCTATAACAACAAGAAATTAACTGTTGTTCGTCCTTTTATGTTCTGTTATGTGATTGTTAGAGAAAAATAGCTATTTCGGTCATTCCATGTCAAATCATCACACTTTCGAACCTCATCGTCACGGATTTCATCGAAACTTGGAATGCTAATTTGGTCCCATGAGTAACTCATGAAACTGAAATTGGGCGAGTGTGGGATCAATATTGAGGGGGATTTAAGCGAACAAACTTGTAACTTTTTTTGGGGGGGGCTATGACTTTGACTGGCTATATTTACCTTAATGTAAGCTGCACAGAAGTGGTCCTCATATTGTTCTAAAGCTCTATAGATTGAATAGATAATATGCCATCCCCATATGAATAATTACTATGTAATGATCTATATTTTAAAATTGATAATTTTTTTACTAAAGCTAGATCATAATGTCATGAACATTTCCAGAAAATTTGGTCTTTGGTTTTTAAGGTGGTGCTGAGATATCTTGACATAAAGGTAGCGTCACATCCGTGACGATGAGGTCCGAAAGTGTAATGATTTGTCATGGAATGACCCATTTGTGTTAACGGTTAATACTGAAACCTTGGGGGAAAGCGTTAGCTAAACAAAGTTAGCGAGATGTGTAATCACGTGTGACTGTTCTTCCTCTGGTTCCTAGGTCCCACATTGCTGTTTGAGAAGGTGTGTCCTGGAGAACCGGCCGGCAGGAGGTTTTATGCCTGCTCCGCTTGCAGAGACAGGAAGGACTGTAACTTTTTTCAGTGGGAGGACGATAAGGTGAGACACCCAGCGTCACTGGGAAAGAAGGTTGTGTTATTAACCAGGTTAAAGGGAACATATGGTTGTAGGTATCCGAAGACAGGCGTTTGGCCAGGGAAGCGGAGAACAGACGTAAGCTGCCTGAGTTTACGCATCAGGAATACTGTGCCAGGTAATAACAGCTGTAGAAGAGCACTTTATTTTTGAAATTGAGTTAAACATTTTAATAAACGGCAGTCTCTGTGGAGCTGTCTAACTGAAAAGACTTGCTTTCATGTTGTTAAGGTTTCTAGAGTTTGTCTCCCTGCCCTTGGAGCAGAAGAGATTCTGTCAGGACTGCCATTTGCTGCTGCTTCCCCCGGAGTGGACTGCGCATTCCTCTCACAGGGCGCTTTCTGATGACATCACAGTGGCCCGCTTAAGACGACCCAGCCTGCTGCTCCGCCCGCTGGAAAACAAGAAGAGCAACGCACAGTTCCTGTTTGCCGATCGCAGCTGCCACTTCCTCCTGGACCTGCTGGCCGGGCTGGGATTCCGGAAGGTTCTGTGTGTTGGGACGCCCCGGTACGTATTCTCTCAGTTCGCCCGCCTCAGGGAGCAGGTGCGCCCCATTCCTTAGTGCGCCCCATTCCTTAGTGCGCCCCATTCCTTAGTGTGCCCCATTCCTTAGCACAGAGCTGTGCTTTTGGGACAGCTTTGGTTATTTATGTTCTCCTGTAACCTGCAGTGGCTCTGCATAGAGATTGAGAATCTAGGTGGTCGTGGGTTTAAATCCCTGCAGTGTCCATCACAGTATTATATTCTTATTTGCATTCAGACTTTGTGGCCGAGGTGTATCTGTAATGTGTTCTCCTCTTTAGTGGGTGGGTCATGCAGGTTGAGTGTGGCTGCCTGATTTGAGGTCTCTGAAGCTGCTACCTGACTCTCCTTCAGCGGCCTTCTGTCCTCATCCCATCTGACCTCCAAATGCCTACCATCAGTTTGATATTAAAGGGGACCCCATTTTCCTTCTCAGGCTCCATGAGCTGATCAAGATAAGGAACCTGGAGGGGAAGGAGGCACCAGTAAGGAGCCTCCTGCTGGACATCGACTTCAGGTAGCTTTTATTCATCAGGCTACATGTTATTACAGCTGAATACATTGACACACACAGTCAGTCTGACTCCTAAAGCATAATATTTAAATTCATGTTTATATAACCGCGTTTTTTCAATAAGCTAGGATATTATTATAAAAAACAGCACTTCTGTATTCTGTGGTGCTGTGTGGATATGCACAGGTAGGCGTCATAGAGGCTGAGCTCCATAGTGGGTATGATCCGTTGGGGATCTCTAAAGGTTTAAAGGCCGTAATGGCAGACCTCCATGTAGTTTGGGCCCGGCTGGCTGCTGTCGGCCTTAAAGAAGCGGAACGCGGGGAACAGCGGCTCGGAGAACTGGGGCTGCAGCCTGTCGCACACGGGCGCGAGGGCGGCGGAGAATTCGTGCAGGAGCCGCACGGTACGGGCGTCGTAGAAGGCCAGGCGGCCCTTCGTGTGATCCACGAGCACGCCCACCCGCTGCGGGGGCTCCACGCCGCCCCCCCGGCACACCACGCGGCGGTCGCCGTGCCAGGCCGACAGGCTGCCCTCGCGGAGCTCCACACACCAGGAGTGCCCGTTCCGGCCCAGCTTGGCGGCTTTCTCCTGGCCCTTGCGCTCGATGTTCTTGTAGGTTGCGCCCACCGCCCATGCCGGACAGCAGCGCACGTCCACCTCCCAGTAGCGCCTCCCCGCGGACACCCCGGGGGTGCCGAGGGCGCAGTACACCTTTTCAAACTGCAGGGGGAGCTCCAGGACAGGCCTCGCTTCGGTGGAAAAGCACAGCCTCCTTCCGGCTGCTCCCACAAGGATTTGCTTGTGGCAGGTCTGCTTGTCGACCTGGACTGTTAGAGAGTCTGAAAAGAAAATAGAGGTTAGGAAAAGACAGGAAAAGAGAAAGGAAATTGAAAACAGCCAGAATACTACTAATACTAATACAAATGCTACTGTTTGAATGAAGTCGTTATGGACTATTTTGAGGATTATACTCGGTTAAAAAATAAAATACCCAGCAGAAAGGTCTTTCGATGCAGGTCTGCCTTTAGATTGTCTAAAATATTGCCCAGTATCTTGATGAGTTTTTGAAATTTATCATTGTTCATCTTAATGTCCTCCTCAGCGACAGACTTCTTAGGACAGCTGGAGAAGAAGAGAATTTCCCATGAGAGATTAAAAATGAAGTATCAAGGATGCTTCCATATTACTGCTGTGACATCACGTTTGAATTATAGAAACTGCTACTTAATTTGATGCTGGTTGCAGTACTCCCAGAATTTTAGGCACTATTATGGGATGTCCTAATAAAACGGCAACGCTTCAGGTTGTTTGGCACTGCACACCCCTCTACATACAAAAGCAGATAAGCAAAATGAGACGGTACCTTAAGTCCCAAGAGCAGTCCTGCAAGACAGAGAGAGTGAATGTACGGGGTACCTGAACCTAGCGGACCCATTTCTGCAGCCTCTCTATGGATCGTTTTCCACCGCTGATCTGGTATCAGTGAACACGCCCCATAGCGCTCGGCGGTGAAGCCTGAATCTGATCTGAGATCTGAGCCTCTGGCTGACCTGCGCGGCCTCGCTTTTCTCCAAGGCCTGACGCGTGCTGCCGATGTCCTTCTGGACCTGGCCCAGGTGGCGCTTCCAGGCGCGCTGGAGCTCGTCGAGGCGCGTGCCGGCCTCCTGCCGCTCCTGCTCCACCGCCTCCAGCGCCGCTCTCTCGTCGGCCAGCAGGGCGCGCCGCATGCCGTCGAACTGCTCGCCCACCTGCAGCTTCATGGCCTCGGCGCTGCTCTTTGTGGACGAAGATGGTTGTATTTAGACCCTTGTAGCACTGCTGGAAGTCTTTTAGCCGGTTATGCTAAAGGTCATGATTCTGGGATGTGTCACACGGGGGCAGTCTCGAGCAAAAAATGTACTTTAAGAAAATTTAAAAGTAATTTTATTTGGCCAACAGGAGAATGAGTGAAGTTTATTAGACTGACCCCATCAGATTGTGAATTTAGTGCCAAACCCCCCCTCCCCACGACCCACAGGATGGGCCTCCCATGTGCTTCATTTGATCCAATGAAAACAATTAGTGACAGACAGTGTTTGATTGACAGCCCTGTGTGGGCGTGGTAACCGTGACAGCAGGACGTCAGTGTTTGACAGCCCCGTGTGGGCGTGGTAACCGTGACAGCAGGACGTCAGTGTTTGATTGACAGCCCTGTGTGGGCGTGGTAACCGTGACAGCAGGACGTCAGTGTTTGATTGACAGCCCTGTGTGGGCGTGGTCACTGTAAGCTGACCCAACGCCGCCCCCTCACCATGAGGTCCGCGTTCCTCTTCTTCAGGGACTGTAGGTGGGCTTGCGCTTTCGCTTGCTCCTCCGTTAGTTCCTGCAGGCGTCTGGACAGAACCTCCTGTAGCGATTAAGAGGGGAATTCCCATAGACTGTCTGTTCATGTTTAATCCGTAGGCTCCTGGAGTTTATTTAGATGCAATATGTGATCTGTTCAAGTGATTAGGCAATGGAAATTATCCACAGATGTGCTGAATTTCTTAGCTGAGACTGAAATGTTAATATATAACCCTTTAACCTTTATTTCTTTTTAATGGTAAAGTACTTTCAGTTATTCCTGCCACTTCACATTGCAGTCTAGGTTCTGCCTGCCTTGAGCTATACAGAGCTTGTAATTGTAATTAGGTGCCTAATTGTACTTTGGTTTGTAATTGGGACTGGCTTACCTTGGCCTGTTTGCCTCCTGCTGCGATAATCCTCTTCGTCAGCCTGGGGGAGCGTGAGTACGGCTGGGTGACCTCCGCAGCGGGGCCGTCCAGCTCCATAGCCATCATGGTGTCCGTGTTGTCCTCTGCCATAGTGGGGGAGGGGGGAGGAGATGGCCGTGAACTTGTCTTCTGTTCTTTTTGAGAGAAGAGGCCCGCGATTGTTTTGTATGTATCCATGCATACCTACATTTATACATACGTACATGCAAACATGTCTAATACATGCATACACACATGCAAATATACCTCTATACATACCTATTACAGAAATCCGTACATACATATAAACATACCTAATACATATATACATACCTAATACATACCTGCATGCATAGATGCAGGGAAGAAGGTTATGTTACATTAATGTCATTTTAAGTGGTGTTATAAGTAGCGTTATAGGAATGCAATTTATACTTCAGTACTTTGTTTAAAACTTCGAAAGGAATATTTGAGCAGCAAACAGCGATCACCCAGCGCCTGCAGTGCGGAGACGACCCGCTCGTAAATAAAAGCTGCTTCTGCTTAGCGCGAGGATGTGGGATTCCCCCTGGATAGCGCTGTGACGGCAATGACGCACTCTGGCTCCGACACCCCTGGGTGGGCGAGGGGCCCCCGCTGTGCTCGGAGGGGGTCACTCACCTTCGGCTGGGGCTCTGTCCGGCTGTGCGGGGGCCGCTGTCTGCGTCTCAGGCTGGTTAGTGCCGTGTCAGGGAGGGGCTTGGCAGGGGGTGGGTGCTGCTTGCCCCG